CCCTCAAACTCGCATTTTAAATATTATATATTGTAAATTAATTTCCATCTAAATTTTCATAGTCATATATACCTATGGCTATTGTACCATATAGAACAGAAAAATATATTCTGAATGATTTATTTCACTTCAGTGCTTGATTTCTAGACTATAATACATGACCTTTATTTTTTCATTCTACTTTGGTAATTTCAAAGATTCTCTGTCTAAAATATTTACATACATTAGAATCATACCATTTTTCTAGAAAGCAAACTATTTTACAGATTCATTGCTTTCAGTACCTTATTCCACTTATGTCCTTCAAAAATACACCATTTTAAACTTGCAAGCTGAAGTAGTATTCACATGAAGAGAATCAACATAGTCATTTCTACTATTTTTCATATTTTTGTGTCTTCAAAATGTTGACCATTGAAAACATCAACATATGTGATACTTTCACATTATCTAAAATTCTTGCTTCTTCACAAACAGCCAAAATAAGTAATGATCTCTAGGGGGTCTCTGCTGTGGCTCAGCAGGTTAACGCCCTGGCCTGAAACACAGGCATCCCATATGGGCGTTGGTTCGAGTCCCAGCTGCTCCACTTCCAATCCAGTTCTCTGCTATGGCCTGGGAAAGCAGTAGAAGATGGCCCAGGTCCTTGGGCCTCTGCACCCACGTGGGAGAATTGGAAGAAGCTCCTGGCTCCTGGCTCCTGGCTTCAGGTCAGTGCAACTCCGGCTGTTGTGGCCAATTGGGGAGTGAACCAGCAGATGGAAGACCCCTCTCTCTCTCTGAGCCTCTCCTTCTCTATGTGTACTTTCAAATAAATAAATAAATCTTTAAAAAAAAATAAAAAATAACCACTTTTAAAAATATTTTTCTGCTTTAATGAAAAACTTGGCTCAGATGAAAGAATCACCAAATTCTTAAAAGATAATTGTTTTATTTCTAATATTCTATCAATTCTTCTATGCCTTTATTTATTACTCAGTTCCTATGAGAACCTTTACAACTATACTACTATTGATAAGATAATTACAATTTCAGAGCAAAAGAAAACCATTACACAGGACGAGAACCTGTTTTCAACGGAATGCCATTTTTCATTGGACAGATTTAATTGTTACTAGCCACAATAAATAGAATACATTGTTGAACATTATTGGCTAGCTTCTCCTGCAGTTTCATTCACTGGATGGCAAGAACATCATCTTGGACAGAGAAGCTTAAACACTTTTACATCTATAGGTGCGAGGCACTGCCAAGAACACTCAAGTATCTTTCTATTTTTATTAGCCTGCTTCTCTAACAACTCCCCATAAATCTTGTGCCTTTCTAGGGCCACAAAGAACTGGGAAATAGATTACTTTCAGGGTACTTGTACCTTTATGCAGGCTTTCATGGAGCAGCTGGACAATGATAATTCCTGAAACAGGCCCAAAGTGTAATACTAGGAGAGATGATATTATAAAAAGTCAATTTACTATTCAGTTTATAGATACAAGAAATTGGATTGATTATCTGGGGATAAAAATGACTACTTTGAAAGACAAAAAAGGACTTCTCCCCCTGATGTGTTGGCCTAAACGGGATTTCTTTGTATTTAGAAGAGACTTATGGTTGTTTCTTTGGAGCACAATATTTGTTCATAGATTTTCAAGCTTTTTTCTCCCTATTTTTGAATATGCTATAAGTGTTAGTTCTGGACAGCTTGCTCATCCACTATTTTGACCAATAACTCTATATAAGTTTACTATATAAGGTTAGATTTAAAATAACTCTTGTCCAGTATTCTTATTAGAAAAACCTTTGCAGCTGTCCCTAAATTACATTTTTAGGGAGTTTGTGGGTCTTTTTTGTTGATGCTGATGTTATTAAATAGCAGTCAGAAGAATTTTTTCTTACCAAAATTATCCCTTATAATGTTTCCTATTTTTTTCTCAAAGAACAGAATTAATTCTAAATTATACAAAGGAGTTTAAGAGGCCAGCATTGCAGCAAATCAGGTTAAGCTGCAGCCTGTGACAACAGCATTCCATATCAGAGTGTCAATTAGAGTCCCAGCTGCTCCACTTCCAATCCAGCTCCCTGCTAAGATGCCTGGAGAAGCAATGAAGAATGGTCATGATTATGTCCCTGACACCCGTAGGGGAGACCAAGATGGAAATCCAGGCACCTGACTTCCAAGCCCTGCCAGGTCGTCGCTACTAGTCAGTGGATAGAAGATTTCTCTCCCTCTCTCCTTTTCTCCCTCTCTCTCTACCTCTCCCTCCCTCTCTCCTCCCTCTTCTCTTTTTCCCACAACTCTGGATTTCAAAAAGATTAAACAAATCTTTTAAAATGATGTTTAAGGTGCTGGCATTTTGGCATAGCACGTAGGGCAACTGCCTGCAACACTGACAACACCAATGGGTGCTGGTTTGCATCCCAGCCATTCCTCTTAAGATTCAGCTCCCTGCTAAGGGCCTGGAAAATGCAGGGGAAGATGGCGTAAGTGTTTGGGCTCCTGCTACCTACCCCTCTGTAATTCTTACTTTCAAATAAATAAATATATATTTTAAAAATTTTATTAAAGTATATTTGTGGAAAATGGAATAATAACAGGTTTATTATGGTGTAAACCATTTAAAAAATCCATGCCCTTTAAATAGTATGCATTTCTCATGAACATTTTTAGGACCCTCTGAATCCTGTTCAATTAAAAAAAATATTTATTTATTTGAGAGGCAGAGTTACAGAGAGAGAGAGGGAGAGAGAGAGATTCTCCATCCACTAGTTCATTCACCAAATGACCAAAAGGACGGGGACTGAGTCAGGCCAAAGCCTGGAGACTGGAACTTCTTCCTGGTCTCCCATGTGGGTGCAGGGGCCCAAGGCTTTGAGCCATTTTCCACTGCTTTCCCAGGCACATCAGCAGGGAGCTGGATCAGAAGAGGAGCAGCCAGGACTTGAACCAGCACCCATATGGAATTCCAGCGCCACAATCAGAGGCTTAAGCTACTATGTCACAGCACCAGCACCGGATTTCAAATGTTTTTCACAAAATTAAATTTATATTTTAATTTCATTTATTCCATGAAATATTTGAAGTACCTTCATAGAAAACCAACATTTTTAAGGATGAGGATTCAATAAGAGGTTTGAAGGACAAGAGAGCAAAGATGGGAAAAAACTCAGGTTTTGCATTGTGTATATTTTTTAGCCAGAATAATCTTTCCAGATTGAGTTACCTTTAAAATAATATCACAACATTCTTCTGAAAGATGTTATTTACTAGCTCAAATATCTGGATGAGTCTTGGCCTATTTTTCTGCATAGGCTTCATTGGTTAGTAAAAATTCAAATGTTATCAATAAACTGAGGATACAATAAGTAGGAATCTCATTAACTCTTTATTGCCTCAGGTTAGAAACCTACATTAAGAAGGTTATAACCATTCTTCATTCTTCCAATTCCAAAAATACTGGTCAGGAGAGTTCTTTGCTGCCTGTCTCCAAGTACAAATGAGAAATCCAAGATTGCTCATATTCATTTATTCATTGTGCCCTGCTTAGCGGGAAGTGGCTGCTCCTCCTTCCAATTCAGAACAAATATTTCATAAATTTGAGAGGACACTGAAAGGCCAAGGAGCCAAGGAGGACCTAATCTGCAGATTCACTCTTGGGGGTGATCTTAGTCTAGGTTGTTCATATTGTAGGGTTTGTGTGGTTTTTTTTTTTTTTTTTCGTCATCACTATTTCCTGATTGGATTTTTTACTCTGGGAAGAATTAGTTCTGTTGTGACAACATGGGAAAAATTTTTGAAAACAAAAAATTGTAAGAAATCAGCATGTGAAAAATTATTTTTCGTGTATATTTCAGTTGACCTTATTGCCCCTTCATATGTCATGAAAATCCAAAACATACTTTTCTGCCTGCAGAAAAAGAATAAATTGGAGAACAAGATATCTAGGTTTAATTATCTATTTTTTGATTTTTTTAAAACTGTATTTTGGTGGCCAGCACTGTGGCATAGGAGTAAAGCCTCCACCTGCAGTGCTGGCATCCCATATGGGCACCAGTTAGAGTCTGGGCTGCTCCACTTCTAACCCAGCTCTCGCTATGGCCTGGGAAAACAGTAGAAGATGCCCCAAGTTCTTGGGCCTCTGCAACCGCATGGGAGACCTGGAAGAAATTCCTGGCTCCTGACTTCAGATAGGGCCAAGAGCCAGGAGTTTCTTCTAGGCCTCCCATGTGGGTGCAGGGGCCCAAGGACATGGGCCATCTTCTACTGCTTTCCCAGGCCATAGCAGAGAGCTGGATTGGAAGAGGGTCATCCAGGACAGGAACAGGTGCCCATATGGGATGCCAGCACTGCAGGTGGAGGCTTTACCTGCTATGCCACAGAGCGAGCCCCATTGGGCTAATAGTTTTAATTTACATTATAGTTGAAGCCTTAATGCTCCACAAAATAGAGTTCAACCAGTAAAAAAGTAAAAAGACAATAGTTCAGCAAGAATATAGGTAAAGACTATAAACAATAATCAAATGAAAAGATGTCCATTGCTCATATAAAATAAATCTTAAAATAATCCCAAATCATTACAATTATATTAGCATTTCTTTTTTTAGCATTCTTTAACAAAAACAAAACAAAGTTTGACAGAACTGTATTTGCAGCATTACTGTTACACGCAAGTGTTTCTGTTCTTGTTTTTTTTTTTTTTTTTTCCTTGACATACATTGTATAGACAAAAATATTAAGGAAAAGAAGGAAAAGATATACAAGGGGTACACAAAAAGTTCTTGGAAAATCATTATAAAAAAGTTAGAATTTCAAATATGTTTGCGGTGAAACAAATTTATCTTTTACTTCTATTTTCCAGAAACTTTGTAAAGAACACCCATATTTTCTGATGCAATCTAAACAGGTAGAAATAAAAACAAAGGAAAATAATGGCTTTCTGTATTGCTTGAATGAAAGAACAATACTTGTCCTAACAGGGTTGAAATGATGGAGAGATATTTTGCAGGTGAATTGACAGCATTCAATCACATAAATCGACTTTATGAAGCAAAAGGACAAGAGAGAAAACACAGGTGATGGCCTTTCAAAGTGATGACAAGAAAGATGCACAATGATCGGCGTTAAGTACCAACTATCTATCTCTGGTTTTTATGTTATCTTCTACATGTTGATGATAACCTTGCTTCCACAGCAGCCACTTAATCTTTCTTGAATCTTCTTTCTTTTCTTCCCCTCTGCCTCTGTTAGACTCTCCTATACTGCCTGAAGACTACAAACTGAGACCAAGTAGAAGCACTTGAATGTCGACTGATTTATCCAAAAGATGAGGAAATGCCTAACATACTTGACTCAGGAATCATCTCCTTATGAAACCTCACCTACTCTTTAATTCCCTCTTCTTTAGACCTAGTAGTTCTCAAATGGCATCCAGTTGATTATGACAACTTCTCAAACTTTAATTATCTCTCAGTACATAGCTTGGCTTTCTCTTTCTACCATGTAGCTTTCATATGTAAATCAGATAATCAAAACTTTAACCCTTTTTTCCCTCTTAAGGCAAGTTATAGCAAAATAATTCACTGTTTAATTTGTAATGGAAGACTGATAAGATCATAGCATTATTCTGATTCGCCCTTTCATGTAAATTGCATTCATACATTTTCTGTAAATTTTGGGAGATCAAGGTGGTTTAAGACTTTCTAAATATGAGCGTATCGGTGAATTTTATTTTATATATCTTATATATTGCACTATGTACATTTAAATATATTCAAAACAAATTGAGAAGAAATTACATTAAGAGAGACCAAAGGGGCCATCACTGTGCCTGTGGCATAGTGGGTAAAACCCTCACCTGCAGTGCCAGCATTCCATATGGATGCTGGTTCCAGTCCCGGCTGCTCCACTTCTGATCCAACTCTCTGCTATAGCCTGAGAAAGCAGTGGATAACGGCCCAAGTCCTTGGGCCCCTGCACTCACATGCGAGGCCTGCAGGAAGCTCCTGGCTCCTGGCTTCCGATCAGCCCAGCTCCGCTATTGTGGCTATTTGGAGAGTGAACCAGCGGATGGAAGACTCTCTCTCTTTCTCTCTTTCTCTATCTCTATCTCTATCTTTCTCTGCCTCTGTCTCTCTGTAACTCTGCCTTTCAAATAAATAAATCTTAAAAAAAAAAGACCAGAAATGTATTCCCTTGGTACATATATTGCAATATATATTGCAAAATCGTAATCAGAAAAGTCTCTAAATACAGATAGAGAATTAGAAAGATAAATAGATGGATAGATTCACAGTGATGTATGTAGTAAGGACCTCCTTATATGGAGCCTCAAAAACATCAAGGGCTAAATCAAAAATATTTCTGGTAGCTTAATAAATAAAATTATAATTTCCTTAATTTTATTTATATAATGTATTTATTGGCACTACCTATTTTTTTCTTTTTTTGGTTTGCTTTTTAATACTCATTGTCTATTTTCAGTTGAAATGTCTGTGTAATTTTATTAATGGATAACAGTTATTCATATACTATGGTTAATAAACTTTTCCTGCTTCTTTTTTTAACTATGTTGTACAAGTTTACTTGACTTTAAAATTTATTTTGATATTTTTTGCTCTAATGAAAATTTATACTTTTTAGGGTCAAATTTAGCAACATTTAGATATATAACTTTTTTGTTGTTTTTATAGAAAGACAACCCTTTTATGCACAGGTTTCTATTTCCTCTTAATTTCTTTTATAGTAAACTTTTGATATACATGGATATAATTAATATTGGTGGGTATGCAAAAACCAAATATAGAACATTTAATTGTATTCTCCTGATTGCCTTACATTACATATATGTAATAGTTTATATATTTTTAAGATACTTATATTTAATAATATTAATATATAATATAAATTTAAAATATAAAATTTTAAGAATATTAAGAACAAAATATATTTGCTATTTATAATAAAACATATACAGCATGATATTATTCAATAATACAATTTGTAGTATAATATACAATAATGTAAATGATATTATAATCTATGTTACTAACATTGAAGCTCTCTGTAATTTTTTTTTTTTTTTGACAGGCAGAGTGGACAGTGAGAGAGAGAGACAGAGAGAAAGGTCTTCCTTTGCCGTTGGTTCACCCTCCAATGGCCGCCGCGGCCGGCGTGCTGCAGCCGGCGCACCGTGCTGATCCAAAGGCAGGAGCCAGGTACTTCTCCTGGTCTCCCACGGGGCGCAGGGCCCAAGCACTTGGGCCATCCTCCACTGCACTCCCTGGCCACAGCAGAGAGCTGGCCTGGAAGAGGGGCAACCGGGACAGAATCCGGCGCCCAGACTGGGACTAGAACCCGGTGTGCCGGTGCCGCTAGGCGGAGGATTAGCCTAGTGAGGCGCGGCGCCGGCCTCTGTAATTGTTTTAAAACTCATAGGATTGTAACCCCAGGTAATATATGTTCAGACAAACCATAAATGTTTTTCTATATTTTCTTGGCTATTGTTGCATGTTTACTACTTTAAGTGAATTTTAGGATAATTTTGGTCACACTGACAAAAATTCCTTTTTAACAAAAATAATCTAATTTAGAAACATGATATATCTTTACTTTTGTTTATCTTTGCTTTACTTCAAGAAATTTCATTTCATTTATTTATTTTTTTATGTTTTATGACACAAAGAACAAAGCAAAGAATGAAAGAAAGTTAAAAGGAGAGAAAGAAAATCCTTTCTCCGGTTTACTTTGTAATTAGCTGCAACCGCCAGGTTGGACTAGAGTCCAAGATGATAGCCGGAAATGCTATCCAGATCTCCTGGGTGGCTGGCTGAGCCATTGCCATTGCCTCTCAGGGTTTGCATTAGCAGGAATCTGGAATCAAGCAGGAGGCAAGAATGAAATCCACGTTCCGGGATGTGAAATGTAGTCACTTCAAAAGCTACGCTCAGCGTTCACTCCCACATAAAGTTTTTGTTTATCTTTACTTGGTGTTTAAAAAGTTTCTGTTGAAATCGTTCCTTTACATAATATAATTTATGCTTCTATTATGTGGGAGTCTGGTTCATATTAATTACTAGGTAGCACATGAACAAGTTATTATCATTAATATGTCTCATAACTAGCCAGTTTATAATATTTATGATTATTTCTAATAATTTTTACTTTGTTCTCTTAGGATTTCCAGAGCAAGACTATTACCTAACCAGAATGATAATTCAGACTTCTACATCATACATTGCAATTGCATTTAATTATAAAATTTGTTAAATAATAATGAGAGCCTGAAGGTATTATCTTTTTCATAAATTTAATGAGAAGCATTCTAATGTTCCACTCCTAAATGTACTATCGGATGTTCAGTGAAATAATATTTTGTAATGCTTATAATGTATTTTATATTCACTTTACAACTGCTATCAAAGAAAGATTAATATTTCCAAGAGCCTTTGAGGAAGGTAACAATAAAACCAAAGATAAATGACAAAGTTTTGGGTTACTCGATAATGCTGATGAAAATTATTAAACATAGTAAATAAGACAAAGCAAAAACTAAATAAAATAAAATGAACATGTGATGTAGTATTGCCCAAATAAGAAGCTCAATAAGAAATTAGGTCCTACTTCGTATCCTTTGACCAACACCTCCCTACTTTCTCCACCCTTCAGACTCCAGTAGTCATTAGTCTACTTTTTGTTTCTATGAATTCAATATTATTATGTATATGTGAATGTAATAACTGACTTATTTCACCTACTTCACTTAGTGTATTGTCCTCCATATCTGTCATATTGTCACACATGACAAACATCCTCCTCTTTTTTAAGGCTGAATAGTATTTTGTTAAAAAGTACCAGCTAGACAAAATAAATGATAGTTATTTAAAGTGATGGCTATATTAACCAGTCTGATTCAACCATTCTACACTAAATATGTGTATCATAGCATAACTATGTACCCTTGATCATAAAGAATTATGATTTTTGAGGAATGTTTTTTTTAAAAAATTCAGATCCTATAATGTGAAATGTTTGCCTTATAACTCTTGTCTATCACCAATGACCTTTTCTTTATTTTTTTTATTTTAAAAACTCAGGAAAGACTAATACTAAACTTGTAAATAATTATGCATTATATATAACTTGCATATTTTCTATATAAATATAACTGTAAAAGTGATGAAATATTTCAAAATATTGACAATAAATGCTGAATGGCAGGGCTCCATTGTATTTTTTTTCCCTTCTACCCTTCTGTTTTTTTAAATTGTCTTCAATTAACTAATTTTTTTTTTGCCAGGTAAGGCTTTTTTTAAGAAGAAATGTGTTTATTTGAGAGGCAGAGTTATAGAGACCGAGGGAGACACAGAGAGATCTTCCATCTCCCGATTGATTCCCCAAAAAGCCCTAACATCAGGAGAAGCCAGGAGCCAGGGGCTTCTTCTGAGTCTTCCTCGTGGGAGCAGGGGTCCAAGAACTCACTCTTCCCCTCTGCCGCTGCTTTCCCAGGCTCTTTAGCAGGGAGCAGGGTCCGAAGCAGAGCAGCCAGATCTGGAACCAGAGGTCACACTGGATGCTGGTGTTGCAGGAGGGAGCTCAACCCACTCCTCCAGGACTGACAATCCCATTCAACTAACTGTTTACCTCCTTGGAACTTAACAACAACAGCAAGGGTAAGGGAGGTGCTGTGGCGGAGAAGTTTTATTCTCTGTGGTAACAAGCACTTAAACAGTGAACAAAGCAAGTGGATCCTTGCAGCCAGGCACAATCCAGGGAAACACATTAAGTCCCATCCTACTTTGATTATGACTGCCCTGGATAAAGATGCATTGTGTGGAAGGGGACTGAGGTCATACTTGGGCCCCTTTTATCAGCACAGTCTTAGGCTGGGAAACCGGAGGTGTAAAGAGCAGCAGGTTCTGCACCACCAGGGAAAACTGATCAAGGAAGCTGGTGAGGAGGCCAGAGCTTTGAGCTGTCCAGCCCTCCACCAGTTTGGTGCTGGTCACTGCAAACTCCTAGGAAGTCATCTTTTGGTGAGGTTTAGCATCTAGAACCAGAGACTCACAGACGATTTCTGCCTCCAAAGGAGTTGGAGGGTGAAACAGGGTGGTCGGATTCCCGGCTTTGTGGCTGCAGTTGCAGTGTTTCCGCCCAGAACCTGAGTGTATGGTACCTGCATGATGTGGTGGGTTCCACCTGCTGCAGCTGTTTCTTTGTGGTGACCTGGGAAGCCACAGTCAGGCCCATCATCATGGTGGTGGGTGCAGTCTCTACGCCACCACATCACCATTTAGAATGCTCATGATAATATAATATCCAAGATTTGACACACAAGGTCCAGTCACAAGGACCTCTCTACACAGTTATGGCACTTTGCCTCTGAGATTCTTTAGTCTCTGAAATTCTTTTATGCACCCTATTTGATTTTTCATAGGCCTATATTTCAGTTTAAGTCTTCTCAAACATGCAAGCCCAACTTAGCAAACATATGCACATGCAACAGAAAAGAGATATACTTTATTTAATTTAGTTTAAAAATGTTTACATGTTAAATACCTTTGCATTATAATATAAATTCTCCATCTTCTGTAGTTCAATTTATTATAATGCTACTGACATTTTCTAGTGTTAACATTTAAAATTTTGCCCTCTACATTCATGGCTAATATAAATCTACCAGGTGGTTACAAAGTATGTGATGTATATGTGGCAGCTCTCTTTTCCAGAGATCATTTATTTACAGAGTAGAGTTGTCCTCCAGTCTTAAGCTGAAGTACCTTTGTTTTCTCTACAGTGTTCAAGTCAAGAGCACATATATTCCTATGTAGCTCCAGTGCATGCTGAAGGGTGATAAGCTTAGCACTGCCTGGCCTTATCTACCAAGTCACCGAGTCTTCTCTAGGAATTCACACTGGGGCTTCCTTTGAGTTGGACAAGACTTTCTCAGACTTGCACTTTTCTAAAGATCTTTCTCCTCAATCTTTATGTCCTCCCCATCTGCTTCTACAGGTTTAACATTGCCATGCCCTTCTGCAAGAGCTTCCTTGCCTCTCCTGCTCCTTCTACCCAATCACTCAAAGATGTTTCCCAAACTAACGTCCTGCTCTGCATGCTTTCTTATTTTGATTCTTGGTTCTCTAATTTTACATGATCTTCATTAAATTAATTTTTAGCTATTCGTTTTTATAATATTCTTGAAAAATTCTTATGGTCTGAAAATAATATTGTTTTCAGGTTTTGAAAAAGTTTTGCTATTTTTTCTTTTTTTTTTTATTTAGTAAATATAAATTTCCAAAGTACAGTTTGGATTACATTGGCTTCCCCCCCCCATAATTTACCTCCCACTCGTACCCTCCCATCTCCCGCTCCCTCTCCCATTCCATTCACATCAAGATTCATTTTCAATTATCTTTATATACAGAAGATCGATTCAGTATATATTAAGTTAAGATTTCATCAGTTTGCACCCACACAGAAACACAAAGTGTAAAATACTGTTTCAGTACTAGTTAGAGCAATACTTCACATTGGACAACACATTAAGGACAGATCCCACATGAGAAGTAAGACAAATATTTTAAAACCTTTGGGATCTGGGAGTTTGTTGATCATTTAGAAATGCATTTATTTATTTTATTGATTTGGAAAGCAGAAAGACAAAAAGAGACAGAGATCTCCTATCTTCTGGTTCACTCCCTAAATACTTGTAACAGCCAGAAATGGGTTAGGCTGAAACCAGGAGTACAGAATTCAATTTTCCTGTTCCACCTGGTTAGCAAGGATCTACCTCCTTCAACCATCACCTGCTTCC